ATGAAAGAACAATGGAAGGTAGGGTCTCCAACGTTTATGTTCGTTTATGTTCGTTTATGTTCGTGTTCGTTTATGTTCGTTTATTTATTAAATGAACAAACATGAACAAGTTATATTCCTTAATGAACGAACATGAACAAAAAAAAATTTGTTCGTTTATGTTCGTTTATTTATTAAATGAACGAACATGAACATAACTTCGTTCGTGTGCGTTCGGTTCATTTACAGACCTAATCTCCACAAATCAACGATGTACTCTTGGATTTCTTCATCCTCCGATCTCTATGGTCCATTATTCGATGGGTATGACTATGTTGGTCGACTCATCATTCTCTCGTGGTCCACCGTTCAGATTAATCATTCGTCCACCGTATCTATGACACATCATCCCATCCGTTAAATTTTTAATAGCATATTACTAAAATGGAACAAAACTAAACATTATGTATGATTTTGAAAAAAATAAAAATTTAAGTACTAAAACAAATCAAAATTAATAATTTAAGTATTAAACACATAGTTTACCCTAATTTATATGAAAAGTTGTTAATATGATGATTAAAAAAAATGTAATGAATAGTTTTCACTTTCATTTTACTTCCTTCGGCTTTGGGGGTGTAAATGAATTAAATTATCCACAAGTAAAATCATATTTATGTTTATTTGTTTATTTTTCATAAAATGTTTATGTTTTATTTGTATTTATTTAAAATTCGATATCATATTTATTTATTTATTTTTAAAAGTGTTTATATTCGTTCGTTTGACATTTGTGAATATATTTGTTCGGCAACCAACATTCATTTTTTTTTTATTTGCAAACTAAAGAAAATGATAAATTATATCATTATTCCTTAAATTATAAGGTTCATAATTTAAATTCCAAAGTTCATCTTATATTTATTTAGCTCATATTTTCATCAACATTTAAAATATAAAAAAGTAAAAAGAGAATGAGATCCAAATAAACGAGTCAATAAATGAACTTATAAATAAGTTAATAAACGAACTTATAAAAGATTCGATGAACAAACTTGTTCGTGAACATAAACGAACAAATCACACATTTGTTTATGTTCATTCGTTTATTAAATGAATTTAAAAAATTTATTAGTATTTATTTATTTAACTTAGTAAATGAATATAAAAGAAAATTATACGAACAATTTACGAACAACCTGTCAAATGCTATATTCATTTATAACCTTATATTAGAGGTTAATTTACTAAAATAAACTGTTTTTAAAAATTAAATATTAAAATAACATTTATTTTTATTATTTAACGAAATAATGTTTTGTTATCAAAATCTTAAGAAGGCACAGTTGAATGCATTTTTATACGCTCCAGTTTTAGAAAGACACAATGTAACCCCTCATACCGATGCAGATAACCCGATTCAATCTAGAGTGTTACATTAGGGCCACAGGAGCGACCCACCGTAAAAATAGCAGAAAATTTAAAACTTTTCTTAAAACATGTAAACTCATAAAATCATTTATGAATACAAAATAAATTTTATCAGTATTCGAAATAAAACAGATTTTCAGACTCTTATATAAAACAAAATACAATTACATGCCCCTTATTCACATGTATCATCCTCTGCAAGCAACGCTGGAAGAACTCTCTTATTGATGTCAATAGCAACACTGATACAATTCTTTTAACATGGAATGGTGAGTAATAGAGTGAGCTTCGGAAAGCTCAGTAATACAGAACTACCAGATGATGTTACAGGGCATGTAGATAAATGGGAAACCATATAATTTCCTTATTGAATCAGACGTATACCAGTTTGCGGAATAATCTGGGATTTCATTAGTAGTTCAACGAGTAGAAACTATAAAGATCTCAGTTCATAAGAAGCATTCATGGTATGACGTTTTCAGGAGATAGAATAGGATGTCTAGTGTGTTCCAATCAAAACCAGTGAAAAGATATATTTCTTTTAAAACCATTGCGGAACCCTTCAACCAAACTCCATTATGCAGTTCCCCATAACTGCGTCTGTAGGGCTTACCCTAAGCATACAGCAAAGGGAGCCAACCTAAGGATATGCCATGGGGCCCAAGGGTATCCTTAGGTCTTACCAGTTGGATCAGGGCTGTGCCACCATACTCCAAAATTCTATCCATATAAAACTCCGATAGAAATCAGTTTTAGCCATAAATTGTAAACATGAAATAAATCGTATAATTGATTTCCACCTGTACATCATAAATAATCTAATTATTAACCCAACGGAGTGTATTGGGGCCTGAGAGCCTACCCAAGGATCACCTTAGGTCCGTAATAAATTTTCAGCTTGATCATAGTTGTACTTTCAGTCTACCCATATAATATCTCAATAAACAATTCCATTAGTAACCAATATTATTCATGGTCCATAAAACAATAACCATCATTTTAATCCAGTGAAATAAGAAACCTGATAACATATTTCAGGTACCATAATTCATAAACCAATAGTTTCCATGATTTCATAAATTAGGAAAAAATCATATTTTTCAGTGAAAACCATAATTGGAGATCACATACCATGTTGCCATGATTCATAAACCAGTAAATCAATAATTTCGTTAAAACTTATTTTAAAATATATAAAACCGTCATGTAGTACATATAGAACACACTAGAGAATCAAATTATTTTTTCAAAGGTGGTTTGTAGTTATCCGGATGTATAACATGAAACTTGTACAATTTGATCAGATTCTAAGAACGAGGTTCTATTGAAGAGAATCGATTACTAATCGATCTAGTTAGACATTTAAGATTGATACTTTAGAATTCCACTATGATTTCATGTACATCAGGAATAACCGGAGTGATTTGAGTTGATAAAGAAGAAACGAATATTCAGGGCATTTACCATCCATGTCAATCGATCGTATTATCGAACAACTTGAGGTGAACAACTCTTAGAACTAATTCATGTTGACTGGTAAATTCATTGCCCTTCCTGGTATTCACTCTATAATACTAAAAATCATTGTCCATAGACCATCTTCAGAATCATGACTGAATATATCTTAAGGAGACGAACAAATATTCTAACAGTTTTTAATTCATTTCCATGTTTCAACTATATCAAAAAATGTCGACGTATTGAATTTATGGTTCATACCCTATAGGGATGATACGTTATGTAAGTTCATCCGAATTTCCAGACTTATCCCAATCACTTACTTAATCCTCAGTCCTTGAGGTTATTTAGTTCATTTAGCATTCAAGTCCATTCCAGTTACTTCGGGGTTTTCCAAAGTAATCCAGACGTTTCTGAATTTTGGATAGATATTGTACTTCCGTTCAATTCAATATGGTCTTTGTGGTTGATTTGTCTAACAAATATCAAATTCATATTACTGAATGTGATTTAGAGTTGAGTTGAGCTAAGTACTTCCAGAATTATCATCGATCCAAACTTGAGAAGACGAACACACATTCAAGTGATATCTATGCCATTCAAATACTGACATAGTATTATCGTTGATCGACCCGCATAAGATGTTTTCCCTAACTTAGGGCAATGTCACATTCATATTTATTTGAATTCCTTAATGAATCCAAGACATTTATTTAGTTTAGACCATAAGGGCATTTTGGTCATTTTGATGCTCTATGTTTTTTCATTCATTTAAAAGCTTGAGGATATCAATTTATTCCTGGGCTTGGTGATATTCTTGGTTCATTTCCATTACAGGGGTATTTTGATCATTTTATCGATCCAATGTTTTTCAATCATTTCCTGCCGTCCGATCTTATTATTTAATCAAACGTATCATCTTTTCCAGACCTTTTTAAAAAAATTCTGACAAGAGAGCACCCTCGATAATTTATTCTTAACTCAGAGATTTTCAGGTTAATTGCCTTCTCAGAAGTTACAAACATGTAATCAGAAATTTTTTTTGTACAAAGACAGATCTTAACAATTAAATCTGTAATTTATCGAGTTAAGTATAAATCCTCAAAGTGCTTTCTCATTCAAGGTTAATTCAGACAATTATTACCTCTCAAGGGCATTTTCATAATTTCATAACCAAATAATTCCGATGTTAAACTCTTAACAAGGATAATATAATTTTGGAGATCCTAGGGTTAATTATTTTCCTAGATAATCCCTGAACTTGAAAATTTATTTCTTATCAAACTTTCAGAGTCATTTCTTGTCTTTTTTACAACATAATGATATTTTCATAATTTTACTTAATCGAAATATTCTCATAAATTTATCACTTAAACCGTATTCGGTTCGAATCCATCCATAATCTAACATGCATAATAGACCAATCATATATATCCATGCATTTATCCATTATCAACATGTTCCATAAAGCATAAAGAGGTAGTAATGTATTACCTCGATTTTCATGTCATACTGATGACCATATAAATTCCATTCGAACGCCCTCAATCTTGAATTCAACTTCCAATAATTCCTCAAATACATAACATAAATTTCATCAAAAACGGAGCTTAATTGCGAAAAATGGATCGAATCAGGTGATTAATCAGTGAAAAACAACTTACCAGGTTCGAATTTGTTGAAACGAACTTCGGAATCGGACTCAGAATATCAACTAAACTCAAAATATTACTCTTGAATTCTAGCTCACCAACTTGATTTCTAGCTTCAAATATTTTTCTAACGAACACGGATTCTATCGTACAAATACGACTTCAAATAATTTTCCTCGCCATAAAAATAACTTATTAGGATCTAATTAATAATCTGGGACCCAATTGTTAAAACTAAAAATCTTGTGAAGCCACTACACTATTTAATTACTAAAATTAGGGACTAAATCAAATTAATTTAAACTATTTAACTAAAGATAAAATTATGTAAACACTTATGAACAAGGTTAAGTTCTCACTAATTTCTGCGATTTTTCCCTTTTTTTTTTCTAGCTACCTCCCACGTGGCTTCACTATTGAAATATTAATTCATTTTTTTAATCTTTTCTTTCCCAGTTCTTTCCTTTCCTTATTATTTTTCTACAACTGGTTCTTTAACGAAATGAAAACAAAGATGAAACAGAGCATGTCGTTGTGATTCCAAGGTACAATCCGAGCGAGTCCTACGGCACCCAAGCCGAAGATTACGACGCTTGATCCCGGCTGCACGTCCGCAACATTCCAAGCTGCCCCAACGCTAGTTGAGACACCACAACTTAAGAGGCTCATCTTCATCGAGGGGGCATCGAAGTCGATCTTTACGACGTAGGCAGAATCGATGATGGTGTCTTCGCTGAAGGTGGAGGTGTTGAGAAAATGAAAGATGGGGCTTCCGTCCTTAGTTGAAAACCTTGTTTTCCCCTCATTTAGCATCACACTCTTCACGATCCTTACAGCCTTGAATCCCTTAAAAAAATCAATTTCATTTGGTAAATTTTCATTATCATGGGTAATGTCACCATCCAAAGTTATTTGGGATCCACCATGTAAAATTTGGGAGTACGGGTTACCTGATGATGCTTGTTTGAGTTAATCACCATTGAAGGAGTATGATGGCATAATTTTTAAACGAGTTCGCAATATCTTCAATGCGGCACTTTGTTGTGGAATTAGCATTAAAAGACCATATAATGCTTTCATCAACCATACATGTCTTCCAGGTTCAAAAAGTTGAAATCTTAGATAAACGAATATTAGAGTTTCGAGCAAGTGAACCAATTTATCAAGCTGAACCAAGAATTTGACGTCAATATCTTCCTTTCATTCTTTGGATACGTTTCTTGATCTCTTGAGCACAAGCTTCACAGTGCATGTAAACTTTCAAGATAACCTCTTGAGGTTGTTGAGCAGATTCTCCTTTAGATTCATCTCCTTTCTTTCCATCTTCTTCAACCTTTTTCTCCTCCATGGTCCTGACGAATATGAAAGAGATTATTTATTACAAATTTTCACTCTGAGTTTGTAGGCTCAGAGAGTGATTTTATTTATAATAGATTATTACACTCTCTCAATCTCCTGAGAAATGGTTGGCTTGGTGCCTACATATAATAATGGCATTAACATGTGGCCATAATAATTGCTTTTGAATTGTAGGCCAAACAATGGTGAAATAAAATTCAAAATGAAAAATAGTAAACAAATACAATAATAGAGTTCACATCAGACAAAAGATAGAAAATTCACGTGAATTATAGAATCCCTTAAATCCCATATTCAACTAAAAAACTAACCCCACTGTCAACATACCTTTTTCGTCCTACTAGGATTCAAACTCTCAAAAATATGATAGAATTCTGCTAGGATTCAACTCCTAAAATAGGATAGAATTTTGCTATGTTTTAAACTCCTAAAGATAGGATCCACAAGCACTATAAATAGCCATTGTAGCTCACTATTGTAACACACGATTGACAGAGGATTTACACACAAAACACAGAGGAAAGCACGGAAAATACAAAGGCAAAGTTATTGTAAACGATTCGAAAAGGAAATAAAAGGTAGCATCTTTTTTATCTTTTTTTTATCTTTTTTTTGCATGTGCACGTTATTTTTCTTAAGATTTGGTTCGAATAACCTAAAACGTGGGTTGCGCCGATGACCAAAAAGGAGTGGGGTTTCGAAGTTTCGAACCTAGATCTACTCCCAAGGCATATTTATTTTTTTAAGTATTTAATATTCCCCCAATTACTTCGAAATTTGACCCCTGATTTTTTTTGTTCCAATTTAATCCCTTCATGTTTTAATTCCTTTTCTTGATTTCGCATTTTTTACTTATTATACTATATTTTATTTGTTATTATTTTCACTAACAATTATATCTATATATTTTTTATATATTATTATTTGTTTCATCTTCTTTTTTATTCGTATATATATATTATGTACATATAACTACATATATGTATTTTAGTGTTTCATTCTAACATCTATTTACGTATATTACCTTTTATCATTATTATATATATTATATTTATTGCTTCATTTTCTTTATGTGTATTTTATTTATTTATATATATTACCTTTTTATTTTATATTTATACTATTATTTACTATCATTTTTCTATGCTTTATTTATTTATTTATTATTTTATTTTATTTTATTTTATTTCTTTTTATTTTGGTTGAATTTATTTTTTTATTTTATTTTTTTTTTATATCTAACATGTTTCTCAACTCTTTAAGGGTACATTTTCAATCGAACATAGGTAAGTTTTGGATCGTTATTTTTACCTTTTAATTTAAAATTACAAGTTTCTTAATTAAGACAACTGAAAATTACGTAGTACCGAAAGGACGGTTCAAGGGTGCTAATCCTTCCTTGACCGTAACCGACTCCCGAGCCCGACATATTTCTGGTAAGACGCAGATCAGGTAAGAAATAGGGTATCCGATCAACCCATTTGTTTTAAATAAATGATCGGTGGCGACTCCAATCCATTTACCTAAGTCGAAGCCCAATTCCGGGGCCCAACCGAAAGACGGTTGCGACAGCTTGGCGACTCCGCTGGGGAAGCAGGTAAGCGAGTCAGGCTAAGGTAATTTCCAGTTGTCTTTTTAACGAAAAGGGTAAGTTTGAATTTTAAGGCAACATTTCGATCCTTATTACTTACTTTTGGTTATATTTTTTCGAGTAAATAGTTGGACTGACCGTTTTCTAATGATTTCAGCTTTCCAAACTTTTTCATCCAAAGGCTCTATACCCGAGCTCCGAACCCTTTTAAGTGGGGGTGAAAGCGACGCCTTCGTGTGAATTTATTCACCGTGTGGGCCTAGCAAGTAGCCTTAGGGATACATATACCTTATGCCTTCGTGTGAATTTATTCTCCGTGTGGGCATAAGGGAATGTTTCCTCTCGAGTTTAACTTAGTCCATACAAGCCTGTGATGGGTTTAGGACTAAGGGTCTGGTAAGCCCAAGGGGGCACCAACAAGGAGAACTCGGGTACCGTTTTTTTTAGAACCTAAACCGGGAGATGATGGAGAATTAGAGCCCACCCCAAAACCTCATTTCAAACCCTAGGATGCCGGAATTATTTCCTGCTTTACTTTCTGTTCAAAGCATGCAAACTAAACAAATATGCGGTTAGGATTTGTGTGAAATTAGCATGCGGGATAGAGATCATGTCCGGGTAGGAATTAAAGCATGCGGGGTAGATATCATGTGGGGTAGGATTTTTCGTTTTTATTATTGTTTTGATTTATCTCACTAACTCTATTTTACTTTTGTTCTCTTTTATTTTGTTTTCATTATTTGCATCATTTAAAAGAGGTGTTGATCCACCAAAAACTTGTTTGTTAAAACATGAATAATCTGCATTAATGGACAAAGGGGTTGTAATACAAGAGATAAGAATGCAGGGGTCCGGCTATGGTCCGAAAAGGGCTCAGAAAGAAAATGAGGACAATTTGCAAGACAATTATGTGTCACATTCATGGTGCCCACAATCAAGTACATCAAAAGTTAACTTTTCAAAAATGGGTTGACAAAGGTGGCAGGGGCAAGACGAGAAAAAGGTTACTGACCTCGAGAGTCCATTCAAAGACAACAAGAACAAGATGGCAAGTCACTGTCGACAAATTCAAGAAACAAGCAAATGAACTTCGAATAATCCCTTTGATGGAGGATTTCAATGGAATTTCCGATTCAGCAAAGGATGAAAGCCAGAGATGAAGTCATTCGACACTTTTTGGGAACCAATACAAAAAAAAACTCAACATTTTCACGGTTCATCCAGAGAGGTCGGAGCGGTTCGACAGGTTATTCAACCGGTGAAAGACGAAGGCAAATGACTAGTCAACCGGTTCCGGGCCTAGAGGATTTAGTCCGGATGTACCTTTAAATATGTTTATTGTCTCTTAAAAGATAAAACACTTTTGTCCCAATAAAGGTTATTTACAATAACATACATGTTTTTGGATCAATGCCTCGAACATTTCATGCATTTTTGCATTTTGCATATACATTTCATTTTTTAAGTATTTTCATAAACATGAAATATCTTCATGGAGAATTCGATGAAGTGGTTTTAACCACATGACACCACATGGAAGCAAGATTGTAACATCATAAAAAAACTATCACAACGAATGAGCCCAATCAGCTGGTTGTACGACTAAACCTGCCAAGATGATCTGAGAAAAAAGTCCACATATCCTAAGGGCTACAATGTTGAAGCTATTTGTAGTTGCCACATAGGATGCTCCAAACATTCCTCTGAGAACTATAAGGCGCTGAAGCGCAAGATCCAAAACCTGATGGATTCAGGGGCATTGACAGCTGAAGAAGGGGGCATGGCATATACCATTTGCACTTAGAGGATTGTTTTGTTTGAACACGTCACTGATATTTCATGTTTGCTTAATCTTTTAAACGATTGAATTTATGCTACTTTCTAAGGTGGAGCAATTGAACAAATTTTAATCTTTAGTTCTTCGAATATTAAATGAATTAAGGATTCTTTTAACTCTTCAAGAATTATAGATTTTTGACATATGACAAGATTAGACCTTTCTTATCATGTCTCAAACCCCAAAATGAAATACCTTGATCATTACCAAAAAAACCAAATTTTGACATACCTTCCCTTTGAAATTCTTGAACATTGTCTTTATCTTTTTGATACACCCATACCTTTCTTTGAGTCAAATAAAGTCACACCATTGTCTTTTTAGACTCACAATTGACATTTTAATACCCAAGGCATTGAGTTGTTCATTTGAACATGAGCATTCTTCTAAGACACAATTTGGGGCATTTCGCCGGGAGCCTGAACATTGAGATATGTTGGGAGCAAGGAGCAAAAAAAACAATTCATTCGAAATAATTCTATCACGCATTAACTACATTGTTTTCATGTGAATGAAATTAATCCTGAAAATCTATCCCCCTGGGGATACCTCTTCTGTGAGGACTTCCATGTATGAAATGATGAACGGCTTTCTTTCTTTATCCCTTCACAACAGGAGAAAATATATATCCCTTGCGTCCCCTTTTGAGCCTATAGTATTTTTTTTCTTCTGATTCAACCCTAACCAAGGATCACCCTCCACACTGGGGGGCAAGGTGGAGAAAATCTGCTCACATGAGTGAAGACATTGATTCAGATGAGATACCGAAAGGTGAACCAAATGCCAAGTGCGATGATTCAATCAGAACAAAAAAAAAAAAAAAAAGAAAAGAAACAAAAAGGAAAAAATAAGAACAAAAAAGAAAGAACAAAAATAAAAAAAAATGGGACAAAAAGCACATGCAAAATTCCCTAAAGACAAATGGTGCATCAAGCTTCAATGAGATTGATCAAGCATAATCATTCTCGAATCACTGAATCCCTTCACTCAAAGATCATAGAGCATCAAGAGAAAGAGACATTTTGAGCAAGACAAGATTGATGGCATCAGAATGAATTGATCCTTGGTTCAATACCCTGAAACACTTGTTTGGGCCTATTTATCCTTTTCTTTCATAACCACGAACCTTGGCCTACATTACGTGCCTTAAAAGTGCCTTCTAATCATACATGGATTTCTAAACAGAAGAGACTATCTTCAGATTTCATCCCGCCCATCAGGATTAATCTTTGTTTGCAAAAAAACAATGTAATTAATGTATGGTAGAGAAAAATAACAAATGGGGGTTCAAGACGTAAATCCTGAATAACGTCTTGAAACCAAAGGAGGATTCGAGTTGAAAACCTGAAAAGGCGGCTCGAATATAAAAATTGTGCAACTGAGGCGATCACACAAATTCCTTGATAAGGCATCACACAATCCGAGTGTGACAACGAAGGTTGGGAGTCAGAGAACACTTCCAGTAGAGAAGCATGCAAGCTACCCCATCAATCCTTTGAGCATCAAATACCAAACCTTTGACCAAACACAATGACCTGAGACTTTTTATCCTTTCCTTACT